CCCTCTCTCCTTCTCCTCCCCCGCCGTCCCCCTCTCTCCTTCTCCTCCCCCGCCGTCCCCCTCTCTCCTTCTCCTCCCCCGCCGTCCCCCTCTCTCCTTCTCCTCTCACTGGGCTCCACCCTTTCTTCAACATTAACTCTGCTTCCTTCTAACTTTGCTCATTTAATGATCACAAAGGTATCTTCGTAATCATTAAACGAGCAAAGAAGAAACACACCACCTTATTAACAACATATTCACTGGGATTAAGAGATAACAAGGTGTAGAGCTGAATGAACACAGCAGGCCGAGCAGGAAAGCTGACGTTTCGGGCCTAGACCCTTCGTCACAAATGGGGGAGGGGAAGGGGATGCTGAAATAAATAGGGAGAGACGGGGAGGTGGATAGAACATGGATAAAGGAGAAGATTGGTGGAGAGGAGACAGACAGGTCAAAGAGGCAGGAGTGGAACCAGTAAAGGTGAGAGTAGGTGGGGAGTTAGGGAGGGGATTGGTCAGTCCAGGGAGGATGGATAGGTCAAGGGGGCAGGATGAGGTTAGTAGGTAGGAGATGGGGGTGGGGCTTGAGGTGGGAGGAGGGAATACTTGGGAGGAAGGACAGGTTCGGGAGGTGGGGACAAGCTGGGTTGGTTTTGGGATGTGGTTGGGGGAGGGGAGATGTTGAAGCTTGTGAAGTCCACATTGATACCATTGGGCAACCAGGGAAGAAGAGAACAACAATCAACTCTCGTTCTAGACGTAATGGTGGAACGAGCGAACAACGAGGAATTCCTTACCAGCATACACAGAAAGGCTACACACACAGACCAAGTCCTGAATTACAACAGTAACCACCCCAGCGTCCACAAACAGAGTTGTGTCAAGACTCTGTTTTTGTGCAGCTCCAGTGTGTTATCGCTCACCTAAACAAAGGGGAACACCTATACAGAGTCTTTGCAAACAAGGGACATCCTAACAGCTCCGTCCACCAATGCCTGGCAAAGAAACAGCACCAAGAAGGCACTGGACGCCCCAACACACTGCTCACCCGACCCTATCTTAAAAACACATCCGAACTGACTACAAGACTCCTACGACCTTTTGGAATAAGGATAGCACACAAACCAACAGCAACACTTCGCCAGTTACTCTCAAAGGCGAAAGACCCCATACACACGATGAGCCGGACAAATGTGATATATAAAATACCATGCAGCAATTGGAAGAAACACTACATTGGACAGACTGGCAGGAAACTCGCCACCAAGATACATGAACACCAACCTGCAGCAAAACAGCATGACCAATTCTCCCTCATTTCAATACACTCCGAAATAGAAGGACATCAATTTGACTGGAACAAAGTTACAGTAGTAGGACAAGCAAGACAAAGACTAGCACAAAAATTTCTGGAGGCCTGCTTTTCAACCACTGATGCAATTAAAAACATGTTAAAATAGACTCCATCTGCATACCACTATGGTACAAAACCGGAAACCAGACTGCCCACCATGACAAACCGGACCATATAAATTCAGAGCAGGACAGAACAACAGCGCTTCAACAGAGGCTACACCGCACTGACGATGTCACCTAGAAGGGAGATGAAATGTTTGCACGAAAACCAGTCCGCTCGGTGAACCAACCAACAACTCCAACCGCCACCTGATCTACAGATCTTCATTAAAACATTAAACGTCCCCACAGAGATGTGCCCTTTCACTCAATTTTGCTCGAACAAATCGATCCAGTAAAGAAAATTATGACCCAGCTAAATAATTTAATTTGTTGGTGAAGAAACAAAATGGAGAATGTTGGCTCACTGCAGCATTTGCTAATTTAGCAATTTCAAGATATTTGCCTTTAACCTTTGATACCTTTGGGAAAAGGGAGCTGTCATGTTCATAATAACCTGTGTGTAATTGGGTTACAAAGGCTTTTGAAAGTTATTTTAATGCTCTGTAATTTTACGGTTCAACAATTCACCAAAGAAATCTAAATGTTAAACCTGAAAGAGCAGCCCATCAAAGCCTATGATGGTGATTAAGAAATGTAATGCCAAGTGAGCAGAGCAATTGAAGTAGAAATATCTGATGAGTGCAGTGGGACTTTAAATATCCCATTTAAAACAAATCAAGAGCTTCAGGTTGAGTTATTGGTTTGGGGACAGCTCCTTGACACCAGGATCAAACCTGAGGCCTGAGTCATACGGTGTCAGAAATGGTCACCTGACACATTCAAACAAATGACCAATTAATAACTTAAGAGCATGCTTGCCATCTAATCAAAGATACCAGATGAATAATCCAGCACCGATGGAACTGGATCCTAACGATAGGAGTGAGGGACAGAGAGGTTGCCTCGAGGTGAAAGGGTTCTTTCAGTATTTTATGCAAACCATTAAGATAGGGGGAAAAAAAACCCAGTTGCCAAGCCATTATTGTAATGATGTCATGGAGCTGCTCTTCACTGGGCTTAAATAGCACGAGTATAAGTGGGCTTAAGGGAAGAAGAAAACAAAATGCATAGAGAGATAGACAAAAAGTCTTTACCTTTTAATTTGTTGATGGGATATGGGTGTCATCAGTTAGGCTGGCATTTATTGCTCATCCCAAACTGCCCAATGGACAGTTAAGAGTCAGCCACATTGCTGTGTATCCAGAGTCACATGTAGACCAGCAGATTTCCTTACCTAAGGGACAGTAATGAACCAGGTAAGTTCTAATCACAATCAACATGGTTGCGATTAGACCTGCTTATTAAAAATTTTTATTGAATTCGAATTTCACCATCTACCATGGTGGGATTTGAACCCAAGTTCCCAGAACATTGGTCCTTGGTTTCTGGATTACTACTCCTGTGACATTATAACTGTGCCACCACTTTGCAATGTGAATGTTAGAAAATGCGCAGAGAAGCGTGTGGAGTAAATTGATTGGTGTCAGGTGGTAGAGTTCATCATAGAATAGTCTTTCAATAATGTAACTGTATGATTTGAGTCTGGTATCATAGAATCCCTACAGTGTGGAAACAGGCCCTTCGGCCCAACAAGTCCACACCGAACCTCAGTGCATCCCGCCCAGACCCATCCCCTTATAACCCACATAAGCTACACATCCCTGAACACTATGGGCAATTTAGCATGGCCACCTAATCCACCTAACCTGCACATCTTTTGGACTGTGGGAGGAAACCGGAGCATCCGGAGGAAACCCACGCAGACACGAGGAAAATGTGCAAACTCCACACAGACAGACACCCCAGGCTGGAATCGAACCTGGGTCCCTGGTGCTGTGCGGCAGCAGTGCTAACCACTGTGCCACCGTATATCTCCGAATGCTGTACATTTTAGTTTTAATGTTTATATGTAATAACAGTGCTCTAAAGAAGTTGAAGGCTGAAGACAGTTCTTGACCTTGCCTTCTTGATCAGCCTGCCTCGAACCCAAACTCATGGATCTGGGTGGAAAAATCACACAACAAAAGAGAGCCCTTCCACAGTACGGCCTGTGGTTACAGCTGTGGCTGTGTAGCTAAGGTGGATCTGGTGGGGCTGAGGTGTCAAATTGATACTGGAACACTGGCTCACCCAGCTTCAGGGCATCACCTCCATGGATCTACCAGGTCCATGGTATTGTTGTGCAGTCTTCTGACCGACTAGAAAATTCCAGGCAGCCTTTGATCTTTAGCCTTAAGAGAGCTATTAAATATATTAACAGCTCCCCTGCTTAAAAGCTGCCAAGTGGCAGAAAGACGCTGGCAACTGGCCTTTTGGCTGACATTGGCAAATTCTGGACCCGCCTCTTTGGCTCCCCACCTCCAGCAGGTTTCCAAAATCCATTTTGAATAAAAGGGAAAGAATGGAAAATGAAACACAGTATGTGTGTAATGAGACCAGCACCAGCTCAGTGCAAAAGCCTCAGCTGATTTAACCCTTAAAGAAGCAGTGGAATCTGCTTTGCAAATCAGCGGTTGCATCTTTAATTTTCAGACAATGATTGATAACCAGTGTTCAGGTATTATAACTTCTCCACGCCTCACCTAATGAAGAAACACTGAGAAAGCAAATCTCTGTGAAATGATGCAGTATAAATATCATTAAATTGACATGAAGGCTACAGCAAGGGCCATGTATCCCTTGTCTGTGCAATTAGAAATGCGTTCTGATTTGTGGAGGTTGTAAAATTCTTAACACAAACCAGCTGAATGTTTAGACCCTCATGCTTATATAGTCATTGATTCATGAAAATAGTCAAATTGTCAATAGGAATCCTTTTTTTTTTTGGTTTGTACCTCTCTACTAGTGCAGCAGAGCTCCTCGATCAGAGTACAATTGAATTTATCGCGTATCTTAAGAAGCAGGATCACAAGGGGTTTTCAACTTACATCCACTCGTTTTATTTCAGCTTTTGGCCTCTTCGCAGATAGCTTTTAAGATCCATAATTTTGACTGTTGAAGTCTAGTTCCAAGATTACAAATGTTGTGGGGTTGATTTTGCAGAAGATTTGTGTACAAGTGGTTTTTTTTATGCAGCCACTGAGGGGCTGGGAAACTGCTGTAAGGTGCTTGAGCCCTGAGATTGGACTTTAAGTGCTTAACTTCATAAACATGCATTTTATAAACAGCCATTCCATGTTTTGTCTTAATGTTGTTCTTTCATAGAAACGGGCCAAGGGACAAGTGCTTTTTGATCTGGTCTGCGAGCATCTCAACCTGCTGGAGAAGGACTACTACGGGCTGACATTTTGTGACTCTGAAAGCCAAAAGGTGAATTGTGTTATTCTGCTTAATGATAAATACAATTCTGCTTCTTCTGTCCTTTTCAGAACTCCCAACCTACCTTTGAGGATTACAGCATGCACACTCAGAGTAGAATTTAAGACTTGCAGGGGGGTGGGGGTGTATCATCCAACAACCGGAGAACTAATGGGATCCCGATATCACCTTCACTGGGAAGGCTCACCAGGATGCACATAAATGGTCAGTCTTGGATATCCATGTGTGTGTGTAATGACTTCTGTCATACTATGTTCCCTCAAAAGTTTGTTCTAATTCCAAAGCTTGAATCCTCTACTTTTTTTCTAATATTAGGTTCAGAGTCTAATGGATTTTTGTGTACATCTCCACTGACCTGACCATGGAGAACTTCCTCTTCCATGGTGGTCTCTAGCAACCTCTTCTAGCTGTATCCCTGGACACTCCGATTCTGGAGTGGGACACTGGAGCTGAAAGCCATCATCTTGACCCTCCCTCAATCTGATCTTCATCCATCGCCTTCAACCTTCCCACCATCACCCTCAACGCACCTTTGGTTCCAAACACCACCTTGATCCTTAGTCAATTTTCTGTCAATATAGAGCTGCTCCCCCTGGCACCCTGAACCTGACAACAGTCCTCTTTGACCCCCCTCTATCAACTGTGATCTGCCTATTGTTAATCTTGACTTTCCTAATCTCACCATTTGATTTGCACTTTATCTCGCTTGGACTACCTTTTGGATTTAGATTGACCTTCCCTATGTTATCGATCTCTGCCCTCTATCCCCATGGTACCTCTTAGGGCAACTAAGATCCGACTTCCCTCAGGCAACTTTGATCCAATATCCCTAATATCTACCTTCTAAATATCCTTGGACAGCCATGGTTGAACTGCCGTAGACACCTGAGTTGAATGTAGCAACTCGGCCTGCTCTCTCCACATCCAACAAAATTCTTCATAGAGGAAAAGCAGCTTCTATCCAGTTCAAATCCACCATAAAGTCTACCTAAAACTGCTGTGCATGACCTTTAACCAATTGTGAATCTGAATGATTGTGTTTCGAATTTGCTGCTGACTTAATCACAAATGTACAAATTAATCTAGTCATCATGTGTTTTAATGAGTATACATTATATGCTAATACATTAAAAATGGGTCACGTTACCTAAGATCAGGAAGTATGATACATGTTTAATCCACTGCCTACTTGCTTCCCAACTTCTTTGAAAAATCATTGGAGAGCTGATGTTTTGCCTATACCATAATGAATTGCCCTCTTGCCTTGTTTCCTTCTCTGGGACGTTCACTAGATTCTGCCCACGAATAAAATTGTGAATCTGTGCATTGAAAATGCTGAGACTGAGATCCCTGTTTAGCTATGTAGCTTTAGTCCAGCGTTCTGCTTGACACTAATTGTTTGTAAGCATTTCAACATTCAGGTGATGAATTAAAATGGTGTACAAGATCAATCTGTCATTTCTGCTTAATTAGAATATGTATGGCCAGTTTTAGAGATCAAGTCACTTCTGCCTTAATCCAGAAACATTGTACAAATGAGCTGGGATCTCTAGGTAACATGTTGCACACCCAGTTTTCAACCTTCATCTATTTTTTGTACTGGTGTGAAATTAGCAGAATGGAAGAGAAAAATTCTGCTTTGTGCAACATTTGAACAAAAATTGTGAATATAATTAGGGTCAGATATTTTTTGTCAAAATTTTATAACATAACTGCAGTATAATATTACTTAATAAAAGAATTGTCTATTAGAACTTGCTGTGATCCCAAAACATAATTTACGTTGGGAAAACCTCAAAGTATGGTTAACCTTACTAAAAGTGTACAAGCCATTTGGAATCACCCTCAATTGACAAGTTTGTCATAAAAGTGGACCAGCTCTTGAAATTTTGCAATACTGTTTTTTTTAGAGACTTTGTGTAATAGCAGTCATCACATCCACTGGCTCAAGGAGCAGTATGTAAGATGGACCTTATAAACGTGGGTTATGTTTATGCATGTCTTACAAACGTGAGCTGTATGGTCAGTCAGAATAATGTCAGACAAAATACAAAGAGTTTGAGATGCTACATAACTGGATGTAACATTGGATGGTGAAACACATTTAAGAATGATTGACTCCAGCATTGGCAGTTCTTACTATCTTTAAGAATGGTTGCTGCTTCTTCATGAGATATGATTCCAATGGTTTACTATTTAAAAAGTGGAAAGATGACCCATAACCCTAATAAATTATTAAAATGGGTATGAAAATGCAGCATTAGCAAGAACTAATTAGCACTGATAAAACTTTGTGTAAAATACCTCATTTAAATGTTGGAATATCTCACCCCTTCTTATCTTCCCATCTCAGCATATGCAATCTACTTGTTAGTCTGAATTTAAAATCATAAAACAACCACCTGATGCAAAAATAAAGTGAGCCTCCCAAGACCAGAATACAATGCTACTGCCAATACAACAGGCCGTCAGAAAGTTGATAATCAGCTACTAGGGAAGTCTGATTTAATGGATATATGACTACTGACTTTAGGAAATTTGGAGAAGGAAAAGAACTGGGTCAAAAACAAAGTTGCTGGAAAAGCTCAGCAGGTCTGGCAGCATCTGTGAAGGAAAAAACAGAGTTAATGTTTCGGATCCGGTGACCCTTCCTCAGAACTGAGGTGTCTAGTTATGTTCTTCTAATTGTTGTATTAACATAAATATTTGTGTTGATTTTCAACGTAGTTTGTTATAGAGGATGTAGATTGGCAAGTTATCCTATTCCCTGTACATTGCAGTCCTCCTGAAAGGGGCAAGCTACGTGCAATTTCATTCACATTGAAATGAAATTTAATTTCTACTTTTACATCCAGGTGTGAACCTTCATTTATAGACAAAATCATCTAGATGTCTAAAATTCAAAGTGAATAATTTGTTCCCTACCTTCAGGCCTGTGCAAGTGTGGCCTTTGAGATATAAGGTGATTTTTTTTTTCAGTTTAATTTCCCCTTCATATAAAGAAATAAGCGAGCTCTACTAGAATTTTACATAACCAGTGACATAACTGACATTATTTGGAGAATTTCTAGCACTAATGCACAGTATATGGGAACAGTAATAAATTGTGCACTTTAATATTTATATTGGAATAAAAAAACAATGCAAAGCTGCATGACAACCACAACAGCATCTTGTTTTTGATTAGATTTATAAGTAATTGCCTGTGAGACAGTTTTGTGCAAATCCAAATAGGTGGGGAAAATCAGGAGTGAGAGGAGATCTACTTAAAAATAATGCTAACAAATACAGGGATTTCCTATTTGTGATTGTGTGAAATACATAATCATAAAGGTTTTGGAATATCATTTCATACATACTTCTGGTTTCTAAACAGCAAAAAGTTGCATTGCTATTTTCGTGAAGTACAAGTATAAATGTCAGATAAGCGGTGTTATAGTGGGTGCTTTAAATTCAGAAAACTGCATATTTAAAAACTTATGCTGTTTTATATTTTGAAAGCTTATGCTTTGAATTCCATTAAAATGTATTTTACAAAGCCACTTATTTTTAAATCATGTCCCTCAAAATATAACTTTGTGAACTTATCAGACTTTTATTACAGCATCAGACATGGAGAAAATAATTTGAGTTCAGATATTCCTATTTCATCATAGTCCTGATATGGTAACTTTTGAAGCCTTATAAAGTTTTTATAAGCCTCAATCTTAAATTTAAAGTAGAACCTTTTCTAGTTGATGCCAAAATATTGAATGTATTCAAGAGGCGACTAGATACAGCACTTGGGGCAAATGGGTTCAAAGGTTACGGAGAGAAAGTTATTCATTTGGACAATCAGCCATGTTTGTGAAGAATGGTGGAGCAGGCTTGAAGGGCCGAATGGCCTCCTCTTGCTCCTATCTTCTTTTCTATGTTTCAATAACAATCACAATTAAAGTTAAGGGTAATATTTATAGGTTTCCTTTATAAACTCTATCAATGGAACTGTGGCAACTTTAGGTGTTACTAACAACTGTAATTGAATGTGGATCGCAGCTAAGGTTGTCTCTTCAATATTTGAAAGTTTGGGTGCATGGAAATGTAAGTACTGTCTTTTTTACTAAAAGTTTTTATGTTTTCAGAACTGGCTGGATCCTTCAAAGGAGATAAAAAAGCAAATCCGAAGTGAGTATTTTGAGCCGCCTTCTTTGAAATGAGTGTTTCCAATATGTATTTACTCAAGCTGTAGTGAGCAATAAATTCAATATCTAATGTTTCATAGGCATGTGACCATGTGTAAAGAACTCAATTTGATACGTGATCAATCTGATATAAAGCAAAGCTTTTTTATTGCCACGGCTCTGTCATTTTTATTTAAAATTATCTTCTTCAAAAGACTTGTCGTCCTTCACGTGTTTCTGATTTTTTTTATGATTTTAAATCTGTTATTCTGTTCTAATTTTAATGTATGTGTAAACTTCATTGTCAATTTCTTGTCACTTGTGTACATAGGTGTTGCATTTTCACAACGATCATGATTAGATTATTTATTCCTGCATGCTAAGCAAAAAAACCACTTTTCTTTAATGGGCAAGACTTAAATTGTTTGTGTCCAGTTTGGTTAAACAAAACTACTTAATGGTACTTATGAATTAATTTTGTTTTTATGAAATTCGTATAAATTTATCTAGACAAATACTTCGTATTTGGTCAATGTGAAAAGATTTTAGAATCAGAGATAGTCCTCCCTATTAGCTTTCTGTCTTTTTTTTAAAAGAGTGTAGGCATACCTTATAATAAAAGTTTTTGCAATGTCTATGCCCTTCTTTTCTCTGCAGATTGTTGCATTTTGTGTAGAATCTATACAATTTTTCAAGGAGAGCTGAAGTCACATTACTTGAGAGATTATGCTGCAGACCATACCATATCTGAGACTGTGTCTGAAACAAATGTATCTCCACAGTTATTGAAAAAAAAGTTTCAAGATTCCGTGCAGTTCTGAGAATATTTTTCCAGTGTAATGGGACAAAATTGACATAATAACTTGTACAGGATTTTAGAGTTCATTAGACTGTTTTGCAAAAATTTAATCCCAAGCCCAAACCAGGATTTACATAGCTATGTGGAAAAAAGGGAAGGAGACAATTCTTGGGAAACTGAACACAGCATATTCAACATTTGTTTTTATAATTATCGTGGGAAGGAAAATGATGTAGTTACGTGATAAAATGGTGTGAAGTTAAAAGCTTTGCAGGCAGACTGGGTTTGTTTGTAATCTTTGTAATTAAATTTGCTTTTTCAACCAAGTTCTACATTTAAAATTACTTTGTCTTGTACTTTTAAATGTTTAATTTGTCTCAATGATCCACTGTTTTTTGTCTCCCATTACTATGTAATTCAGTTTTTCAATTTGTTTTAAAATCCAATTTTAAAGTGCCCTGCAATAATAGACTATAAATTAGTTGAATATAACCATGAATTTATTCTCTGCAGGGTATTTTGGAGAAAAGCCTTAAATAAAATTGTGTTACTTTCTATTGTTATTTTGTTGTCTTATTTTATTAAATGCAGGAGAAGGAGAAATAGCAGAATAAAAAATGAGGTTGTTCAAACATAAGTAGTTTACAATAAAACACCAGAATGAAACTCATTAGCCTTTGTAGATTATAATGTTTCCATGATAGAATTTGGTCTGAAAGAACAGTACACTCCATTGCAGATCATTATCTTCATTATAACATAAACTGACACAGCCCTCCTAGATTCCTAACTAAAATCACACACTTGCAAAATGTGCAGGGATCTACAGTTTTGGAATAAATGATTTCCACAGCTGCTGACCCAGGTACATTGAAGTGAAAGATACTGTATGTCTGTTGACAATCCCGCACATTTTCATGCAAGTGAATGTAATTTTAAAGTGTGAAAGTACACCAGCTGTTCACTGGCTTTTCATCCAGCGATCCATTCATAAGATAGAAAAGCAGCATCTGATTTCTTTTCACAGTGTAGTTACAGTCAAGGTGATGAACAAAAGCTCACTTTTGAATTCTTCTCAATGCTTCCTTCTTGTTGTTCATCTTCCTTTCTCTATAGGTGGCCCTTGGCATTTTGCGTACACAGTGAAGTTCTATCCCCCAGATCCGACCCAGCTTTCTGAAGATATCACAAGGTGAGTTTAGTAATTTTTGATTCAAGAACACACATTTGGCCATTCCTGAATATGAATGTTCTATTTATCATTCGGCATACATTTTGTATTTTTAAGGATGTATATTTTGATCCAGTAAATAATATCTACCACCATTTAAAACAAAAGTGGTTCTTGGTGATTCCGAGGCAAGTAGTACAATTAGGAACCATTCCCTATCTTTCAGATCATTGTACTTTGAAAGAGGTGAATGTACCTTGAAGACATCAGTCTGGTGTACCCACATGGAGCATGCCTGTTTCATGGCATTGACATTGACATGATTGATGTGTAATCAGTTTTACCATGACCTGATTTTACTAAAATGAATTTCCTTTGCAACTTACGATATAAGTTGCGAAAAATAAACTTTTTTTTCTTTAAAGCAGTGGGTTTGGACTACAGCTAGATTCATGAACAGCAAAGCTGTAAAATTGGCACATTGTGGAGGGATAACCTGGACTGATCCTTTTTAATGATGGCAGCTTTTTTTCTACACACTCCATGTAGCACATTGTAGTTCATTTGTTAGAAAACCTTGCACAAATGCTTAAATTCATTTGATGGTCACTCAGCTGATGCTACAATTTCAAAACAGGTATAATTAGGGAAATGTAAAGGCCTGACACCGGAGAGATTTCTTAACAAACACTTTTAAAGCCAAGAGCACAAGGTGCTGTGTGATAAAGCTGCTGGAGGTGCAATTGCAATATCATAGTTGAATAATGACTATTCACCTAACATCTCCCCCCTTCCAAAGGTAGTGCTTCTCACTTCTGTGTGTTTCTGTATCTGCTAGTGGAGTTGAGAAGTTTAAAAATCCACGAGGCTGAACCAAGTGTGAGTTGCTGTAAAGTATAACTGAAATGTAAACTCTTAACCTTTTTGCTTTTCAGTCAAATGTTTAACCACTTGAGTGATTGGGATTCCCCCCTCCACTGTTGAACATTCTAAAACTGGCTTGTTTTGACATAATTGTCATAAACTCTTGTAAAAGAATTAAATACATTATTAGGTATAAATAGAGAAATTTGTTTCGAACATTGATTTATTGATTTTCTCCCTGAATGGGTAATTTCTTTATGAAGAAGTCCTCCAGAGATTTTAGAATAGTTTCGTACTATATAACTTCCATCAACCATCTTATAGCAAAATAAAATAGTGATACAGTTAAACGTGATTTATAGTTGTAAACCAATCAAGACATTGAACCGTTTTTGTGCTTAGAAATGCAAGAGATGCCCGTGCTGGGAAATAGAGCATTTTTCATTCAAGAATGCAGTGTTAAAATTAAACTTTTTTTCCAGGTCGGTGTCAGGAATGAAGGTGTCTTCATCCTGCCCCAACAACATGTCTCAGCTTGGATGTCAGAAATGGCATGGCCCTTTGCCATGCCCGTTGGCCAAAACTGTACTGTCCTATTTTCCCCAGCCCCACCCTCCCCCAAGCCTTTCCCGCATCCCACCACAGTTATTGACCCAAAAGATCTAATAGTATCAGGTTTACACCTAATACCTGTGCTCACTCAGCCCTTATTGCCAGGAAATAGGATGAAAGATAATAGCTTCAATCTGGGCTGGATTTGAAAACAAGTAGCTGAAATGATGGACAATGTCTGAGTCATGCAATTTTAATTGTCTCAGGGAACCTTTAATGAAATCTCTGTACTTATGCTTACAGGAACAATGCTGTGTTTCCAGACAGTGAAATTCAGTGTGCTAGAACAGACTTGGTGCAACCAAGTATCTGATGTACAGTTGTCTCACAAGTGATCACCTCATTGGCTCTGTTCTACTTCAGGTATTACCTATGTCTGCAGCTGAGAGATGATATTATCTCTGGACGGTTACCTTGCTCTTTTGTGACACATGCTCTATTGGGGTCGTACACTGTTCAGGCTGAGTTGGGAGATTATGATCCTGAGGAGAATGGACCTGACTACGTCAGTGAGATTCGCTTTGCCCCGAACCAGACAAAAGAACTTGAGGAAAGGGTGGTAGAACTGCATAAGACCTACAGGTAAGACACACGCTACTTGTTTCAAACGCTGTTTAGAAGTGACTTAGGTGTTTATCTGATTTATCTAATATCTATTCCATCTAATCTATTCCCAGTTTAAATAAAGACAAAGTGCTTGAGAAACTCAGCTGGTCCGGCAGCATTTGTGGAGGAAGAAAAAGCTCCAGAGGAAAGTCATATTAGACTCGAAGTGTTAACTCTGCCTCTGTCTCCATGGATGCCACCAGACCTGTTGAGTTTCTCCAGCATTCTCTTTTTATTTCAGATCTCCAACATCCTCAGTGTTTTGCTTTCAGCCATTTAAAATAGTTGCCTATATTCACTAAGATGCTACATTGGAAGCCTCTTCCTAAGCTTCAAGCTGCATTGTTTTCAATCAGTTGATAGTTGGAAAGTCAGTACTAGTGCATTGTTTGTTATGAATAAGCTGTCTTCCTGTTCTTTTAATCAGCCAAATCTAGCGTCAAAGCTTAGATTTTGAACACATAAAACTGTATTTTACTAGTTCTCAGGAGACAAGTAAAATGGCTGAGAAGTGTGGGATGGAGGAGAAACACAAACTAGGAGCATGAGTAGGCCATTCGGCCCTTTGAGCCTGCTCCACCATTCTGCAGCCAATCCTCTATCTCGATGCCATATCCCCACTTTCTTCCCATATCCATTGATGCCTTTATAGTCTAGATCTGTACCTATCTCTTTCTTGAATATATTCAGAGGCTTGCGCTCCACACCATTCTGTATTAGAGAATTCCACAGGTTCACTACCATTTAAGTGAAGACATCTTTCCTCACCCCAGTCCTAAATAGTCCACTCCATAGCCTGAGACTGCCCCAGTCCTAGACTCCCCAACCAGGGAAAACATCCTCCCTGCATCCTCTCGTGTCTCATCACCACTGCCATGCCATTTTGCCAATGGCAGGGAAAGTGGAGATTAGATCATTCACCCAGAGGTCAATTGTGCCACATGCAGCTAATTGAAGATCTGTTTCTGGTTCCATTGATGTTTTACTAGCGGTGACCTACCTGATGAATGGGGTTAAGCCCCAGGAGTTTCCACATGGGCTCTTCCTTGGGGGAGGGTGTCCTCCTATTCAGGATCTCTTTGGTCCACAGATTGAATTCAAGGGTGGCCACCCCATGACAACAACACAGTTAACCAAACTGCTGCCCATTTCCACATTTGCTGGGACCTACCTGACAGGCCATATGCTATTAGAACACGATTATGTTGTTGGAGGCCAACGTCCTCTTTCTTGAAGTGCTATCCCAGCTGTGACACTGTCTCCTGGTCGCTCTGCAGAGCTCTCCGATTAACTGACAGCCTACAGAGGGAGTCCCGATGGCAGTCAACTGATCACCTGACCCCCACCCCACAGGTGGCTGTGTTCCGCAGATGGGTAATGTGGGGTTGCCTTGGATTTCAGGCCTACTGTCGGAACACCCAGTCAGATTGAAATATGAGACATTGGGTGGGGCTTCATGTAAAAAGACAGTGTCCAAATCTGATTGGTAGAGTGGGCAGAGATTTTCAGGGCTACTTAGAGCTTTCAGAAAGGTGGGTGGGAGGAAAATCGTCAGGGCTGGATTGACCACCTGTTATACACCATTGAACCCAATGCAAATAAACTTTGTCGAATGGATCCAGCAATTTTCCCCTCGTGCCCAAAATGTAAACCATCCCATTGACTTCTGTAGAATAAGAGCAAAATAGTTGTTAATGGTAAAAATAATGATTGCTTAATGTATTACTTTTTTAATCTGGCTTAACTCATTAAAGCACACACTGCTGTGCAAGATGGGTTTATCATTTGTACTTTGCTGAATAATCCTTTATCTTGACTAAAGTCCAGCAGCAAAACCAAAAAGGGATATTTTTATGAGCAAAGCCAGGCAAAAACAAGCACATGGCAGGTTTGAAATCATGGGGACGGGTGGGGGGATCCATTCAATGCCATTCGGGTAACTAGCGCTCTTGTCAGTTTTGAACAGCACGACTTCAGTATATAAATGGGACACCTATAGTATGTATAAGATCTGGATTGCTATTTCGAAAGAAGGAGCATGAGCTGTATACACTCTGCCCAGATTTGCATGAGGTACAAATAAGTTGATTTCCAAGCTGCTAAACCTTCTAACATGACCCTGTTGAGACTCAGCCATGTATGAAAGAGAATGCTGCCCTTCAAGATGTAACCATTCATCTCTATAAACACATAGAGAGACTCCTACCGTCATCACGGGTAATGGCTAATTACAGGCAGATGTTCAGACATCTGAAGAAATATTCAGCTTAAAATCATTTTTGTGGGTTCAAAAGGAACAGACCTGTTCCATTGGCAACACAGGAATACTCCTTACTGCTAGCACCTGGACTCATGCTTGCAGACATACGTTGCTGCTAGCCGGGTCAGCTTCTGGGATGTCTGATTATGGTGCTGATCCAGAGCTGCCAGGCTTTAAATGGACATCTTTTCAGTGCCCATGGCAAAACAGCAATGATGCCTGATCATCTAACTGAGCTTTCCACTGACACTTGTGAGCACAGATTTAGTTGATTGGCAATTTGATAGTTCTGATCTACTTCAACTAGTTTTTGCAATCATAATTGTATAATTGAAAAGAATCTTGTAATAACTAATTAAAGGAAATGATTACCACTAAAAGGGCTGATAGTAGTGCATAACTATTGCACCCACACAGCTCAGTGTCTGCCAAGGAAAGGAACCACAATCACTTAAAGACTGAAATCTTGTTAAATGCTATTCTGTTAATTAACTGATGTTTGTTTTCAGTCATTGTAATAAACAGGGACAATAAGCTCTTTGTGCATCACTGATTACTATAGGGGCATGACACCAGGAGAAGCAGAAATGAACTTTTTGGAAAATGCTAAGAAGCTGTCTATGTATGGAGTGGACTTGCATCATGCTAAGGTAATTACTAGTCTGCATTGTATCTCTACTATAGAATTTTTTAACTTAAATAGCAGATGACTTTTGGTGTGATTAAGGCAATGTATACAGAGATTTAAAAAGATTAACTTTTATTCTTCCTAATAATGAAATAGGTTATTATTAATAGGATTGTCTCAGAAAGTCAAAATGTTGACACTCTCAGTATTGCGTTCAATTCTGGTAACCACATTACAGGAAGGATGTGGAGGCTTTGGAGAGGGTGCAAATGAGGTTTACCAGGAAGCTACCTGGATTAGAAGGTATGAGCTATTAGGAGAGGCTAGAAGAACTTAGATTGTTTGTTTTCTTTGGAGTGGCAGAGGATGAGGGGAGACTTGATAGAAGTCCAAAATATTATGAGACGCATAGATAAGGTGGACAGTCAGAATCTTTTTCCCAGAGTTGAAATGCCTAAAACTGGGGGGCATGCATTTATGGTGAAAGGGGGAAAAGTTCAAAGGAGATGTGAGGGACATGTCTTTTCACACAGAGAGTGGCAGGTGTCTGGAACGCGCTGCCAGGGGCAGTGGTGGTTGAGGCAGATACATTAGGGGCGTTTTTCGGAACTTTTAGATCAGCACATGAATATGCAAGCAATGGAGGTGTATGGACCAATGGCAGGCAGAAAGGATTAGTTTATTTGGTGTCATGTTCGGCACAACATATGGGCCGAAGGGCCCATTCCTGTGCTGTGCAGTTCTATGTTGTATGTGACAGGTATACATTTTGTTCTCCTGTAGGTTTATTAATCATTTTGTTAGAACTGATCTTCTGAAAATTTTTTTTTTTCAAAGCAATTATATCAGCAGACATTTTGTCAGATGTATCAGAAGGTTATATGCCCATTGTTCTGTCATCTCTCTGGTACAGTGACCCAATTAGAGAATTCCCTGCTGTTTCTCTGCAACACTGACCATTCGCCCCCTTTTTCTATGTTTTTTCATGGGGTATGGGTGGTGCTGGTAAGGCCAACATTGTTACCCATTCCTGGTTGCCTGTGAGATTCAATGGTGAACTGCCTTCTTCAACCATTTCTGTCCATGTGGTGTAGGTGCACCTATGTTACCGTTAGGAAGGTACTTCCTGATTCCTGTCTGTGACACAGAATGAATAGTAACATAGTTCCAATCCAGGATGGTGTGTGGCTTGGAGGGGATCTTGCAACCACTGGTCCTGCAGCTGCTAATGTTCCATGTCATCCTTCTAGCTAGTCAAAGTCACATATTTAAAAGGTGCTGTTGAAGGAAGCTTGGTGAGTTGCTGCAGTGCATCAGGCAGATGTTAAGCACTGCTAGCATTGTGCGTGGGTGGTGGAAGGAGCAAGTGTTGATGGTTGGTGGGGTGCAGATCATTCAGGCTAATGATGTACTGGGAAAGTTTTTACTTTGTCTTGAAGATTCCGGAGTTGTAACTGTACAGAAAAAGGTGGGCAAGGGGCACAGTTTGTACTCTAGCTTCAGTACCACTACTGGAATGCTGTCAGGATCTGTAGCATTAGCAGTATCCAGTGTCTTCATGTATTTCTTGACATCATGTGAAATGGATTGAATTGGCTGAAGACTAACATCTGTCAATGCTGCATGCTTCAGTAGAGGGCCAACATGGATCATCCATTTGCCAATTCTGGCTGAAGATGATTGCAAGTGGTTGTACTGAGTTCCTGCATCATTTGTGGAACCTCTTGCACTGGTCATTTTTAATTTAAAACGTTGTCAACCTTGATTCAGTGTCGTGGGATAGAGTTTTTTTGATCCATTCGTTGTTGGACCACTTTGCTCTGTTTCTTGTATGCTGCATCTGCTGTTTTAGCATGTAGGATGTCTGTGCTGTAGCTTCATCAGTTTAGCATCTTGTAACTCTCAAATAGTTAAATCTAGAAGGTGAAATTAAGCTGACTGGTACCTCCCTTGAGTCCAGGAAAGGTGGAATGGTTGTGGCTGGCGTTCCTGTAATTTCCACTTCTGCTTCCTTCAGAATCCTGAGATGTATCTCTCCCGGTTCTTGTGTCTTGTTAACTTTAAGCACCAACCAATCTGCCCTATCAATTGTTGAACGGTTCTAGTGACCGAGTTCCCTCCTGTTACCGTGACCTGAATAGCATTTCTCTCTTTGGTGAAGGCAAATGCAAAGTATTGATTTCACACCTCAGCCATGCCTCTGCCTCCAAGCGTAAATTCCCTCTCGGTCCCTAGTTGGCCCGACTCTTCTTTTTACCACCCTCTATGCTCATGTAAAAGACTTTGAGACACCTCTATGTTGACTGCCAGTCTTTTCTCGTACTTTCTTTTTGTTTCTCTTGATTGCTTTTTCACCACCCCACCGAACTTCAGGATTCCTCTTTGTTCTCCATTTTATTTTCTACGTGACACTTGTAAAAAGTACACTTTTTCTTCTTTAGCTTAATTTCTATCTCCTTTGTCATCCAGGAAGTTCTAGATTTGATTTTTCTATCTTTCCCATTTGAGGAAATATACCTTGACTGTGCCCAAACTCCTCTTTGAAGGCAGCCCATTGTTCAGTCATTGTTTTTCCTGCCAGCCCCTTACTCCAAGTCAGTTTTTTCCAGTTTTGTTCTTCCCACATTGAAGTCTGCTCTCTGCCAATTGCTTTTTCTCAGTCTGGATTGTTGCATGTCATTCTCCATCATCCTGCCTGATCCTTGTGATACGATGATCACTGTCTCCTCAATGTTCTGCCACTGACACCTGGTCCTCTTGGCCCACCTCCTTTCCAAGAACAATGCATTCATTCTTGTTAGACTTGAAGCATGTTGCTGTAGGAAGCTCTCCTACATGCAGTCCAGGAACACTTGCCCCTGGCTGACCATACACTACAGGTATCCCAGTTCATATTTGGGCAATTTAAGGTTCCCATCACAATTATAATGTTGGCATCTCTCTGTAACGCAGCCCCCTACTTTACTCCTTGTACACCCACGACCGTGTTGCCAAATTCCGAACGAATGCCATCTACAAGTTCGCTGATGACACAACCATAGTGGGACAGATATCTAACAACGACAAGTCAAAATACAGAGGGAGATAGAGGGCTTGGTGACGTGGTGCAATGAAAACAACCTCTTTCTCAACGTCAGCAAAACTGAAGAACTGATAATTGACTTCAGAAAGAAGGGAGGAGAACACGCCCCCATCTGCATCAGTGGAGCTGAGGTTGAGAGGATTAAGAGCATCAAGAACATCAGTGACAATAACTGACAGCCTGTCCTGGACTTCCCACGTAGATGTGACAGTCAAAAAGGCACAACAACGCCTCTTCTTCCTCAGGCGGTTCAGGAAATTTGACATGTCCATAAGGCCCCTCACCAACTTCTACAGATGCACCATTGAAAGCATACTGTCCGGGTGCATAACGGCCTGGTATGGCAACTGCTCTGCTCAGGAATGTAAGAAACTACAGAAGGTCTGACCATCACAGAAGCCAATATTCCATCCATGAAATGTATTTACACGGCCCGCTGCTACAGACAGGCTGGCAACATCGTCAAAGACCCATCGCGCCCTGGTAATGTTCTCCTACAACCTCTTCTATCAGGCAGAAGATACAGAAGCCTAAACACGTGCACAGGCAGGTTCAGGAACAGCTTTTCCCTGGCTGTTATCAGACTGATGAATGGACTCTCTAGCCTCAAATAATGCTGATCTTGCTAATGTTGATCTCGCCTAGCACATGCTCTGTGCAATGTAACCTGTATGCCTCTTTCTAAGTCTTTTTGATCCGTACATCCTAGCTTACTGTGATCTGCCTGCGCTGCCTGTAAACAAAAATTTTCACGGTACTTCGGTACACGTGAAAATAAATCCTCAATCAATCAACCAATTCTTCTGCATTCTTTCCATCAGGTGATGGTCTACAGACTACCCCGAGCTATGTAATTATATCCTTTTTGTACCTTAGTTCTAACCAGATTCATTGTGTGCTTGGACTTCGCGTGGCATCCTCTTTCTCCAGCATTGCAATGCTCTCCTTAACCAATACTGTTGCCCTTTCTCCTTCCTGAATACAGCGTACTTTGTGCTTGGGAATATTTAATACCTAGCTATGTCCTTCCCTAAGCCAGATCTCTGTTACTGCCATAACGTGAAAGTACCATGTGGCAATCTACACCTGTAACTTCCCAGTCTTATTGACTGTGTTCTGTACATTCACATACATACACAGTAACCCTGATGTAGACTGCATTTATTTCTTCCTCTATCTTGACTTCACCTACTAGGTTGCTATTGCCAATGCCAGTGTCACTTGCATCTTTTAAGTATTTGGAGAACCCTAGTCTTCTCCTCTACCATTCTCCCTTTTGGTTCCCACACCCTGCAAGGTTACTTTAAAGCTGTCCCACTAGCACAAGCAAAATGCTGTGTAAGGAACTCTGCTTCAACCTTGTTCAGGTGCATCCTGCCCAGCTTGTACTGGTGCCATCTTTCTCGGATTCAGTCCCAGTGTCCCAGCAATCTAAAGCTCTTGCTGCTGTGCCAGCTTTCCAGCCATGTATTTAGCTGCCTTTTCCTCTCGTTTCTGTACTCGCTCATGATAATAGGAGTAATCCAGAGATTACTATATTTGAAGTCCTGATTGCTAACTTTTTACCTAGCTCCGTAATTTTGATTGCAGGACCACATCCCTAGCCTACCTAAGTCATTGATGCCAGGCATTGGTACCAACATGGGTAGCAACCTCTGGCTGTTCACTCTCTCAAAAAATTGACCTGGACACTGGCACAAGGGAAGCACGATACCATCCTGGAGTCAGATTGATGATTACAGGAACAGAGTAGAAGAAAACTGAAACAACTGTGGATGCTGTAAATCAGGCACAAAACCAGAAGTTTCTGGAAAAGCTCAGCAGGTCTGGCAGCATCTGTGAAGAAAAAAAATCATTTTGGGTCCGGTGACCCTTCCTCAGAACTGATGGTCGTTGGGAAAACGTTGGATTATATACAGAAAATAGGGAGGCGTATGGGGTAGGGAATATTTAATATGATAAAGATAAAACCCAAAGAGAGAGTAGAGCAGTTGGATAGACAAAGGAGTTGATAACGATCTGGCTAGGAAGGTGAATAGCTGTTAATGTGGACTATTAGTGACTAACAATAGGTAGTATGTAATGACAGGCAAGATGGTAACAAGGCCTGGGAATGTGTGGGGTAGGGGGCTAGGACATGGGAGAGTTTAGGCCTTAAAATCATTGAACTCGATATTGAGTTCGGAGGGCTGCAGTGTCCCCAAGTGGAAAATGAGGTGTTGTTCTTCCAGCTTGCGCTGAGCTCTGCTGGAACACTGTAGCAAGCCAGAGACAAAGATGTTGGCCAGGGAACAGGGTGGTGTTAAAGTGACAGGCAACTGGAAGCTCGGTCTTTTTGTGAGCAGAATGTAGATGTTCTGCGAAGCGGTCACCCAGTTTACGTTTCATTTCCCCAATGTAGAGGAGACCACATTGTGAGCAGCAAATGCAGTAGACTAGATTCTGGGAAGGGCAGGTGAAGTGTTGCTTCACCTAGAAGGTATGTTTGGGCCCTTGGAAAGTGGGGAGGGAGGAGGTAAATAGGCAGGTGTTGCACCTTCATCAGTTGCAGGGGAAGGTGCCATGGGTCTGTGGGGGGATGTTGGGAGTGAAGGAAGAGTGGACCAGGGTGTCCCGGAAGGAACAGTCCCTGCAGAAGGCGGACAAGGGAGGGGAGGGGAGGGGAATGTGTGTCTGGTGGTGGCAGCTCGTTGGAGGTGGTGGAAATAATGTCTGATGATCTTCTGGATGTGAATGCTGGTGGGATGGACAAGAGGAACTCTATCGCTATTGTGGGAGGGAAGAGAGGGAGTGAGGGCGGAAGTGTGGGAGAGAGGTCAGACCACAGAGTGGAAGAAAATTATCTTCCTTCCGAGGCAGTGTCTCAGGTCTGAGAAGAAGATGACTGTAGGGAATTTGGGCTGCGCTAGTCTCTTTATGTACTCTGAAATTGGTCTGCTACTAATGTAGATAATATTTCCGCTTCACGGCATAAGAGTAACCGATTTGTTATACCTCCAGACTAGGCATGAGAAGTATTGGCACTGAGCAAACAAAGGACATGTGCAGAAGAAAGAATGGTCAGCCTTACACAAAGGCGCTTACATCAGTGTTTCAGTTTTAGAACATGGCTGGCTAAAAAAAAATCAAACCAGCTTACTCACACTGACCTTGGCGGATCCGATGTTGAAATCATTAGTTATAGTTTGTGATTGCTCTTAATAAATTGTTGTCCTCAGCTGAAGTTAATGATCTCTAAGGTAATAACAAAAAAATGTGAAACCGTTCCTTTCCTTCCCAAGGCTGCAAATAAAAATCTTTCACAGACATGGAATCATGTCTTTTACATTTTTAATTTTCCAATGTGGATGTGACAAAAACACAGCCCAATTAAACAGACAAACAGTACCTCAATGGCCCTGAGTCAACGCACTGTTGAAGAATTATGTTCTATCCATTATTTTGAAAGAGATGTCATATGTGATTTAATTATGTTTTGGCATGATTTCACTCATCAGTTGGGATTTTGGAAATTATTGCTGCTTTCCAAGCAATCCATTATTTGTTTCAAAAATGTGACATTTATGTAAAATTTTGCATTCTTTAAGAGTTCAGTTAAAAGCACACGCAGCACCCTGGAAACTTGGTGCCACATCTATTTTTCGTGTGTAAAACTGGCACCTACCTGTCATGTGGATCTAGACACAATGGTAAAGTACGAAACAGTGCATAGATTTTCTTCCTTGTTGCTTGGTTTATTCACAGCCTACAGCATTACTGATCTCAGCCTCCCATCTACTAACTGTGTCCCAGCAGTCCATTTTGATGCAGTTTTTAAAAAACAAAATCAAATTAACTAAATTAACTACTTGATAATCCTTCATAATGATAAAATCTAAGGTGGTCTTTGGGTAATTTCATAGACGGCAGCATTTCTCTGGGGAATTGAAATTTGGCCTCTCAAGCTACAAGGAAGAAAACAAACTACTATACAATCGAAGAGATGGATAGTCACTTTTTATATTGCTCAAAAACAGATGGTTAGTCTCCATAATTGACATAACGTTAAGACTAGTTGTTGAATATGATGAGCAAGTTGAAACAAGCACAGGACGCTGGAGAAACTCAGCAGGTCTAGCAGCATCTATGGAGAGGTAAACTGTTAAGGTTTCAAGTTGGTCTGACTCTTCTGTTGTTTTGAAGGAGAGTCATACCAGATTCGAAATGTTAACTATTTCTCTCTTTCCACAGATGCTGCCAGACCTGCTGGGCTTCTCCAGCGTTCTGGTGTTTTTTTGCATATTTCCAGCATCTGTACTATTTTGCCTTTATTTGAGTGATGAACAGGCTGAGTATCTTGGAAGTGTGCTTCCCACTGTGTCAGTCGAATCAGAAAAAGGGAGCGTCCAGGGATCACAGCTGAACAGCCATTCAGTCCTGTTTATTTAGTGAATGATCTTGCCACTATTAGACCAGCTGTGTGCAGGAAAATCAGGTCTAAGTTTCAACCAACCAGCCTTTGAAACAGGGATCATTGAATGTTGCCGCCAAACAGTGAGTTTTTAAAAACTCAGCCAAATATGGGATCACTGTGTCTTTTGAGCTGTTATCCCTGCCCTCCCAGTCTGCACATTGATCATTTTTTTTACCCACCTCCCACTGTCCTGCTTCATCAGTAATCTGCCTGGGGCTACCCATCTTGTGCCTGCAGCTCGCTGGGCTTGTGAAAATCTTACGCCAGAGCTGGCCTGCCACAGTATTGAGAGGGATATTAGGGTCATTCTCTGTGCCCAGTTCACACTGACAGGCTGTCACAAACCAGTTTCCTAGCTAGTCAATGTTCAGACTGTAAATCAACTTGAAATGTTAACAGGAGAGATTTCAAGTGAGACTATTGAACAGGAATGTTAAAACCTATTGCATGTATTCAGATCTCTCATTACTTTGCTCGGTATTTTCTGGTCACAGGACTCTGAAGGAATTGATATCATGCTTGGAGTTTGCGCAAATGGTCTTCTGATCTACAGAGACCGGTTAAGAATAAATCGCTTTGCTTGGCCCAAGATTCTCAAGATTTCGTACAAAAGGAGTAACTTCTACATTAAAATCAGACCTGGAGAAGTAAGTGACGTGCATTTCAAATGAAGACTTAACTGTACAATAATGAGCCTTCATACCCTTATTCAAGTAAAGTACTACAACAGTAATAAAAACATCATATCAACAGAGTGGCAAGTTTGGATGCTAATATTACTCTAGGGTTTCAATATGCCTTGTTTAGGATGACTTCTTTCAGCTTCTCCAGCACTTGTCTTGGATGAGCATCTGAACTCATTTCAGTAAACCTTTTTTATTCCTTTTTATAAAATAATCAACATAAAAGACCAATTTTCATTGTTTTCACAGACAATGTCGTCGTGTTTTCTCTCTCTCCTCAAACTCTTACTTCGATGGGCCCTGTCCTACTGTCTAATCCTTGCATATTTTTTGCACGATTTTACATATTTTCACATTTTGTGACTTTTTATTAGAACTACCACCCCCGTCTTATTTTTTTAAATAGCCAAGTAAAAACTTACACTACTCTTTCAATATGTATTGACTCATATTTTTAATTGCATTGATTATGTTGCTTTACCTAACATTCCCTTGCCATCATACTTTACTTCTAATTGCCATTCTGTGACTGTCTTTATATTTCACCTGTGTTGGCCAATGTTTCTTTGAAAATACCTGATCTGTTTAATGATTCAGTTGCCTTGTTGCATGACTTACAAGGATGTTTCCAGAGTTGGTGTGATTAAGCTATTGGGAGAGGCTGAATAAGCTGGGGCTATTTTCTCTGGAGTGTCGAAGGCTGAGGGGTGACCTTATAGAGGTTAATAAAATCATGAGGAGCATGGATAGGGGTAGGTGGACAAGGTCTTTTCCCTGGGGTGGGGGGAGTCAAAATTTAGAGGGCATAGGTTTAAGGTGAGAGGGGAAAGATTTAAAAAGGATCTAAGCGGCAACATTTTCCACACAGGGTTGTGCATATATAGAATGAGCTGCTGGAGGAAGTGGTGGAGGCTGGATACAATTATAACATTTAAAAGGCATCTGGATGGGTATATGAATAGGAAGGGTTAGAGGGACATGGGCCAAATGCTGGCAAATAGGACTAGACTTATCTAGGATATGTGGTCGGCATGGACAAGTTGGACCGAAAGGTCTGTTTCCATGCCTCACAGCTCTATGATTCTATGACTTTTCTAACCACAAAAAAACTCTTGATGATCCTCAAAAGGAAACAAGGGACATAGGGTGAGGTGTAAAATTTCCACAGGCATTCTCCAATCTTCTGCAGTTTGCCTTTTATGGAAAATATTTTCAGGAACACCATAATAGATAATACAGCTGCTGGTAGTACTCTTATATAATTCAATACAGAGTTTGACTGATTTGTAAGTTTCAATTGGCTCAGTGCCCGCATTTAATGGGGAATAAAATTAAGATTCTATTACCTTTTGTGTGGAAAAGTTACTTCCTGATTTCATTCCTGCCTAGAAGAGCACTTGGATAGTAGAGCATGAGTGAAGATTTCCTCCGGAAATAACCGGAGACCAGAATTCAGTTGAACAGCATTACAGAGACTGCTATAGACAGTTGTTGTAGGTTCGGAAGATCAGCTTGTGTGCAGGTATGATGCTGAGGCTGTGAACAGGCTGAAACTAGCTGGAAACAGGCAGCCTTACAGAGCTGGAAGCTGTCTACTGTGATGAAGAGCACTTTGGCCAAAAGCTTGGCTCAACATCAATTGTGCTGATTTATAACTGTCTGGTTCAGTCTGAAGCAGTGGTTATGTAAGGTTGTATTATGGCACAGATTCTAGATGACATAGACAATGTACATTTAGGACAGTTACATCAGATCTTGTTCTGGTATAAAATTACCCACCGTGCTTACAGAAACACTCTCTGTATAATGGAGTCATGCAGTCAGTTATGTGCATGCTGTGTTCAGTAATGTCAATAAGTATACATTCCAGATTAATCACAGCCTTTTAAATACTTAATATTGTAATTAAATTTCACATATCTGACTTAAGGAAAACCTGATTATCTGTGGTACATACACTGTAGACTAATATGTTGTAAACCACAAACGACATCAGATTTGATGGCCAAGGAATGATGTTTGTGGCAGATAGCAACCAGGTGCAAGAGACCTGGATAAGTTTCCCTTCTGTATCTCGGGGACTGAATTAAATTATAGTAATCCTACACAAAAATAAAGTGCTGGAGAACCTCAGCACCATCTGGAAGAGGAGTGAACCAGCGTGCCCTGAAGAGAACTGTCCTGCCCAACAATACCACAGCCCCTATAGAGGTGGCCTTATAGAGTTTTATAAAATCATGAGGAGCATGGATAGGGATAAGTCGACAAGGTCTTTTCCCTGGGGTGGGGGGAGTCAAAAATTAGAGGGCATAGGTTTAAGGTGAGAGGAGAAAGATTTAAAAGGGACCTAAGGGGCAACATTTTCCACAGCGTGTTCTGCAAATATGGAATGAGCTGCTAGAAGAAATGGTGGAGGCTGGATGGCATCTTCCCATGCAATTGCAGAAGGTGCAACATTTGCCTGTTTCCCTGCTCGCTCTTCACTGTACAAGGCCCAGGCATACCTTCCAAGTGAAGGAGCAAGTTTACCTGCACTCCACTCTATCTAGTCCATTGTATTCACTGCTCACAGTGTGGTACCCTGTACAAAATGGAGATGAAACGCAGACTGCTTTGCTGAACGTTTACGCTCTGTCGGTAAAAATAACCCCGAGCTTCCAGTTGCAAACATCGTGTCCGTTGGCCAACTTTTCTGTCGCAGGTTTTCTGCAGTGCACCTGCAAGGCTCAACATAAGCTAGAGGTGCTTCAACTCATCTTCAGCTTCACTACCTTACAGTCTTTAGGACTCAACATTGAGTTTAACAATTTCAGAACATAAATGCCCTTCTCTGTTTGTTACCCTCACCCCACACCCCTCGATCCTGTTTTGTATAGGTTGCTCCAGGCACCGCCAAACCATTTTCAAACATTTACGCTCCTCATTAGCATCCTACACAGCATCTGTCTCTGTCTCTCTCTCTCTCTCTCTCTCTCTCTC